CTAAAAACAGTAGTTAAAATAAATCTTATATACCTGTCAGAATCCTTGCAGTGGCTTTCTGGGGGATTTTAAGGGCTTCTAAGGTAGAATCAAAGGTAAAGTTTGAACTATCTTTCATACAGGATTTTGCAGGAGAAATTAGACCAGCCCATATCTGCTCCACCATCACCCAGAGACATATCAATGGAGATAGATTCTCCAGAAAATATGATGAGACATATCAGATTTTTAAAGAATGAAGTGGAAAGGCTAAAGAAACAACTGAGGGCTGCACAGTTACAGCGTGAGTAATCAACCTGTTTTAAATCTTTTTAAGTTTGTGTAATGTAAGATTTTTACATAGATTTTCATGACTTTGAATTTAAGGTAGAAGTGGAAAAAAATAGGGCAGGTTTGGATGAAAACATTTTTGCAATTGCAGTAATATTGCTTGTTGGGGTATTTACATTGCAGTTTGGGGGTTTTTTACCTTTACTGGAAGGGTGTCTCGAAGAATCAACAAATATTTCTTGAATATTTTGGGCCAGAAAAAATGTTTCCTTTTTTTTTTTCAGAGACTTTGCAGTATTTCAACATACAAATTTTTGAAAACATGATTACACCCTACTCTGTAAGAGTCTTGAAAATTAAGAATTACTCAAAAGAATTAACAGCTAGCAAAATAAAGTTCAGTTATGTACAAGAATTTCACTTGTTAATGATTTCAGCTATCTTTAAATAATTGTGTTTGTAGCTGTGTTAGACTAATTGTTCAGGCAGCTATTTGACTTCACAGAATAGCAGAAAAAGTAATCTTATTTTGTTCTTACCTATGTAAGATTGCTTTGAAGGTGGACAGAATAAATAGTTGTGTAGAGGTCCTTGTGTTTCTGTTGTGAAAAGTGTCGTGCACCCTTGCCCAGAAGTGGAAAGCCTGCTTTTTGCCCTTCTTTTAAAGAGAAGAGGCTACAGCTCTGAGCACAATGGTGTCAGCTGGCAGGAAGCTCACTTGTGCCTTCCTGTGATCTTTGCAATGTCAATCCTTCATTCCTTCATGCTACATCTAAAATGTCTATCCACGTTTCATCAGCTCTGCCTAGTTCCTAGTCAGTAGCATTATGTTTCAATTGATGGGTAAGCAGATACCTAACCATATAGACAGAAAAATTTGGGTGAGTGGGAAACGGGCAATATTCTCCCCCTCTAGTGTGCTGGTCTTGACAGGCTAACTGGAATATTTCAACCTCTGTTTAGAGAAAGGGCTTGCCAGAGGCAGTGGCCTTCCTTAAAGACAGAAATTATGAGAGAGTGCTCTTTTGCAAGGGCCTTGTGCGCAAGTCTGTGGTATCAGTAATTTGTGTCAGTTAAAAGAAGATAAGGACTGCTAATCTTTGTACTTGACAGTTCTGCGTTGCAGCCTTCACTTACTGAACTTCAGAACGAGAGCAAGGCCTTTGATTTAAAGTACTCTTTGTACAAATCTAGCCTAATTAATGTCATTTCAAGTGTTCTTTATTATTTTTAAGTGGCTTCTTTTTGTATTATTGTGATTGTAACAATTTAAAAGCACTTAAAATCAAATTCACATTGAAAGTAAGATCTAAGCTTAAAAGTACTCTTTGCCTTTGGGAAGAGATTGAACTGAGCTGCAATGTGAATAGCAGTACTGATGGAAGTGGTGGATGTGCTAGCCTGCAAGCAGAAGATGAAACTGAAATACAGTTTTCAGTTTGGTGTTTGCAATATGTGGTCATTAGAGAACCTCTAGTATTTTTCATAAATACTTGATAAAATCTGCTTACTGAATTCTGATATTGGTATTACATTTTTGTATTCCTGAAGCACTTACTAGTGCTCTAATGCTTACTAGTGCTCACTTCAGTGCTCTAGTCTAGGAACTGGTTTTGTGTAATAATAGTTTTACATAAGTGATACTGTTACCTTTAGAAGTGATATTTCCAAAGAAGGGAGATAAATCATGTATTGTTGATAGTTTGGGAACTATCATCTAAAACAGGAGTGTTCTTTTGATTGAAGGGTGCTGCATGAAGAATTGATCACAAAGCATGATGAATTGTATCTTTTTTTAGTATCAAGAGATTAACTGCAAATGTGATCCAGTATTAGAAAACCTCACAAAATACATTGTGTGTCATAAGTCTTCATCATGTGTTCCATTTTATTTAAAAAATCAGTCACGATACTTCATAGCTTTCCATAATTTGATTTTATCACTTTAAATAGACTGTGATACCAGAACATTAAGTGGTGTTTGCTGAACTTGTTTAGAATTGCAAACTCAAATTGCACTTTGATGTTAAGAGTAAACCACTCGTTGGCTTTTAATATCAGTACATATTCTGCTGGCCAGTCTCTATGATAAAATGTGTAATTGAAACAATGCTACAGAATACATACAATGTAGCAATTTAATACAAGTTTGAGTGTTTGGGGCTTCAAAACTTGTTTTGGGCTTCCTCCTTCAAAATAGAAATATACCTTTAAAATAATTTCTTCTGTATGTTGCAATAAAATCTTTGTAAACATGGAATAGCATTATTTTAATGGAGTGGGAATTATTGTATTTCTTTGGGTTTGGTTTTATTATTTTCTTAATGACTTTTTTCCTTTCTTTTCAAATTAATTTAAGTAAATACTTAAAACTTTTTTTGCTTTTTAGCTTTTATTTAAAAAATTGCTGCCAACCAGTAATTTATTTCAATAGCTACTGTTCTGAATTATACTTTGAACTAATGACTTAGGGATGAGAATTTTGAGTGATCCACCCTTAGCATTTTCTACACCCTCATGCTTGAAGTGCTGGAATAAAATTAGGCACAACATATTTGCCTGTCTGTGAAATTGAATTTTAGTTACATTTTAACAAAATTCTGGATTTCAGATTCAGAGAAGATGGCACAATATTTAGAAGAGGAGCGACACATGAGAGAAGAAAACTTGAGACTTCAAAGAAAGTTACAGAGGGAAATGGAACGTAGGGAAGCACTCTGCAGGCAACTGTCAGAAAGTGAATCCAGCTTAGAAATGGACGATGAAAGGTTTGTATTTTCTAGCCATCCAGGTATGTTGGTGTTGAGCTTATTGATCAATACTCATACTACGTTTTGAGTATTATGAAATAAATATTTAGAGAAATAACCTGTACATGTGTTTAATATATGTATCAAATTTCAGTAGGGGCCAGGAGTATATTCATTAGAATTGTGTCAAACTTGTGTAAAAATTGCATTGGTTGTAACAGTGAGAAAAAAAATATTTATACCTGAAGATTGCTTAGGGTGTTGATAATGTACATGGAAATAAGTATAGCTGTGGAGTTGAGATTCAGAATAAATTGATCATAGTAGCTTTGTTTTGCCCCTAACTTGGTAGCTGTGAGGAATTTGAGGAGGGAGTAACATCCTTACTTGGGGCTAATTTGTCCTTTGCAGAAAGTAGAACGTGTTCAGCCAAATAGGAAGGGATATTATATAAAGCCTTAGAGAGAGGAAGCATTTTCAGAACTGTTGGGTTATTCTTGATGTCCAAACCATAACATCCTTGATTTTTTTTTCTACTGCAAGCTGCATTGCTTGCCACTGGCCTTACAGATAAGTCTTTTGAGTTTTTCGTGGTTTTATATGATGCCTTTCAGAATTTTCTCACGTCATAATCATATGACAGTGTTATATCTTGAAAGATAAGTACAGTTTGAGTAAACATTTCTTATCAAATGCTCATTATTCTGTTGTACTGTTTTATATTATTTTGGATTTATAGTGGTCCTTTAAAAAAAAAAAAAAAGTTACCGGGTGCTGTATATTCTTCTGGTACAGAGATATTTCTTCTTGGGTCATCGGTGTATTTTTATAAGCCATAATTTACCAGAAACAAAGTACCAGATATTTTGTTTCAAGGAGCACCCTTAAAGTTCAAGGTAGTGTTTTCATTTCAATGAAATACTAGGCAACTGACACATATTGCAGTAGCATCTGTTATTAAGATGTAGTGAGTGCTGTATAAATTGTTAAAAACACAGGATTCTGCCGTTTGAATCTACTTTTATTAGCCTAATCTTTTCTGCGAATGTTTGCATTGTAATAGAAGTACAGTCAAAATCTAAATCTATGTGGATTACCAATATTATTATTCTAATATTTTTTGTCTGCCTGTTGTAGGTAGTGGTAATCAATAAAATGCAGGAATATTTAACTATTCTGTACTTCTAAGAAATTTAATTGTCTTGTTGATTTTCTTGGTACTACAAAGGTGTGACAGAATTGCTCCAAAACAAGTATTTGCAGTGTAAGTAATATAGAGTAAGGGAAGGATGAAGCGAGTTACACTGGTTAGTCTTAGGATTACTGTGTAGACAAAATGATTGTGGAACCATGCAGTAATGATTTTGAAATGTAAATTTTTGTCAGCTTACATTGTCTTCCTAAAAATGATGGTGTTGATGGATCAGGTATCTGGTTTTTTTTGGTTGCATTCTGTTAGCTGATGATTCTTATTTTTGTAGATGAGGGTAGATGAAAGTGCTTTACTGAATGCAAAATACACAGCTCTCCCAAAACTTCTTCCTCCTGACTAGCAATAGCTTTGTTGTCTTGATTCTCCATCCTATTCTCTGGAGTAGTAGGGAAGTATCTGGAATCAGGAAGCATACTAACAGTGTTCTGCTATTCCATATCAGCTGATCCAGGTGCTAGGATGACTTACAGAAAATTGGGTTTATGTGTAATAAAACACAGTTAAATCACACAAACCACTGCCTTGCTGTAATGCATGTACTGTCTGCATTACAAGTTACTCTGTATTGCAGAGGTAGCCTAGTCAGTTCAATTTCACTAACCTTGCCCCTGTTAACTCTTTACAAAACTTATATTTAATTAAACTTTAATTTAATTTTAAGGCTTAATTTAGTTTGTTAATTTTCTATTGTCCTCTATTGCAGCTACTTCTATTACCTGATCTACGCAAATTTAAACCAGCTTTGCTATCACTAGAGTATATTGCCTGTGTTAGGTGTTGTGACTCAGTAACTGTGAATATCCTGCTTAAAAAACGAGTAAGATGCAGTATCAAAACATGTTTCAAATAGTTTATGAACTATCTCGCAGAGCTTGAACTAGTCATCATTGTGAGTTCCATCAAATAGGAATATTTTCAGTGCTGTGATCTGTGATCTGAAAATAAATACAGCTACTAAGAATTCAGAAAACAGTAGTAGAAGGGGAGACAAATAAGAGTCAAAGGGCTCTTAGGCAGCTAATTTTGCTTGCTGTGTTGTTGTGTCCAGTAAAAGAAACACAGATAAATGTAATAATATAAACCCAGGTGCGCTGATTTGCAACCATGTGTGCAGGAGGAGGTGAGCAGGGAAACCTCTGATCTAGACAATGAGTGAAAAATATACGTGGAGTGTGCATTAGCAAGTCAACTGGAAAGCTGACAGCCTACAGCTGTGGAGAAAATATATAAAATTGGTTTTGAGATATAAAAAGTAAGTGGCAAGTAGGAGCAATTGGTATTATTTTTATCTCTTTGTCTATAGCACTTGATGGTTGTGAAGAAGCTTCACAGTATTGTACAAATAAATACCACTAAAATTATTACAGGTGGGGAAAAATGCCTTGTCTGAGGTTCTGATCTGTTCAGTTCATCACAGTGAAGGGTGGGAGGCATCTTGCAACACAGCCTGGAAGTATCTTGAGTGGGAGAAAGTGCTGGGTTCAAAATGTCTCTTTGTTCCAGTGGCAAAAGACATGATGAGCAAATGACTAAATGTTGAGACCAGAGGTATTCAAGTAGGAAACAGAGCATGGTTTTAACAGTGAGGCTGATCAGCTGTTGGAACAAATTATTAAGACTTTAATGACTTTTCCCACCCTTTTCATGATTTCAAATTAGTGCTGAATGCCTTTCTGGAAAATATACTCCAGCCGGACGAGCTATTAAGTTCAGTATAGAAATCATGTGTGAAGTGCAGGAATGTAGTATAGGTCAGGTTGGATTGCATAGTTTGTACCGCTGGCCTTAATATGTGCTATTCTAATTGTACACAACTTGCAGGGTTTTAACTGTGAATGCTAAGTCCAGATATTTCCATTGAAAGTTAAGCCAGTATCTGAGCCTTCAGCAATGACAAAAGTTCCTGTCATGACTTCCTAAAGGTGACTGATTCTTCATTAATCTAATGTGATTCTTGTGGGAACTGAAAAAAACCACAGTGAAACATTTAAAACACGGCACATTTTAGAAGGTTTGATCTAATTATTCTTTACCTTTTTTTGTTAGGTATTTTAATGAGATGTCTGCACAAGGATTAAGACCTCGCACTGTGTCCAGTCCTATCCCTTATACACCCTCACCAAGTTCTAGCAGACCTATATCACCTGGTAAATATTTAACCCAGTTTCTAAAATTGTTGTATGTATCGCATAGTAACTTGCGCTATTGATTTATTTGTATCAGTAGCCTTTCAGGGCTACTCTGGAGGAAAAAACTACATCGTAAATGTAGGAATTGTTTTGCCTTAGATGTCTTCTAGTGCAGTGTGTTTTCAGATGGTTCTGTTTTACACTGTGAATAGATATTAAAGGTCAGTTAAGTAGCTATCACTTGAACTTTTATTTCGTAGAATCATAGAATCATTAAGG